TAAAATTCATGTCTAAAAAACAAAAAAATCAAATTAAATTTACTAAAAACAAATTGAGAGTGTAATTAATATCACAGCTCAATCTCATGAAGAGGAAAAAACAAGGGGTTTTTTTTTTTTGGCCTAAGAAAAGGTTTTTTAATCAAAATGTTTGAGGATGAATTCGATAAATAATTTTAATTGTAGAGTCTCAATCTAATTTTTTTTTTTGAAAAGTATGAAAAATACAGGGATAGGATACACCACAACTCCAAAACCAATTAATTTGGAGTTGTGTTGAATTTCATATATACCACATAACTGACACACGTAAGCATGATGTGGAACAAACACCACACAATCAGGGGGAGAGGACCCCCACTTAAGAGGGTTAATTTTTTTTAACAATATGAAAGGTACAAAAACATAACACACTACAACTCCAAAACCTGATTTCTTTCTATATTCCAAGATATTTCTAATCTACCTTTACAATGATTTAGTTTAACAAATGGATCATCATAAGAAGCATGCTTATCAATGACAAAGCTTTCCTTGAATTGTAACAAGGCAAGGCGCTCATATCTCTGACACAATGATTGATTGGAAACATGGTTGAAAGAAAAAAAACTAGCAAGACAGTGGAAAACAAGAAGTGAGCAAAAGAGGACACCATATAATTTGTTCTTGTGATTAGATTTTTTTACTCTTAGAGATGCAAGAAGATAATGCATGGTGGAGGGCTTATATAAATGACATTATGTTGAAATGGAAAAGTAAAGAATTTTAGTTGATGTATCTCACTCTCTTTTTTTCTACTTTTTGCCGTGAAAGAAGGTCCAATTATATATACATCTCTTATGTACATAAGCTATGGCCCATTTGTGGCTTATTTTTCTATATACTACCAAGAATTTAGCTCTAATTTGAATCCACTTGCCATATTGACTAGCAAGTTAAGCGAGTCAAGCCAAACCCATCTACATCTAGGAAATTAGAAAGAAATTAAAGAATGTTTAATACAGCCAGCCAGTATGAAAGTGAAATTAATTGACTTGACTTAAAGGCCTCTACATCAAAGAAGTTATGATATATCAACTCCA